GTCAGCTCTGCATCACCCTGCCGTCGACAGCGGATTCTCTGGAGTCGGCGGCGGCAAAGGGGTGGAAATCATTCATGACTGAACAGCTCATCACTCGTCTCATCTCGCAAATGCCGACTCATGGCTTCCATTTGTGTCTCAGGTCTCCCCAAGACCAAGACCGGGGACGCTCCCCTAGTGTCATTGAGCAGGTTGAGAGAGCCATAAACAAGTCTCGGTTGAGGGGACTGCCGCAGCTAGTCAAGTCGAACATCCGTCGGTGCGTGACGATGCGATGATGGCAATGATGGAGTCAACTACCTTGTTCCATGACACGCCGGGTGGTTTCCACCCGAACAGGCCAGAAGAAGGCATTCCTCGTTTGGCGGTGAAGGCAGCTTGCTGCAGCAAAAGATCCCGTATCCTTGGCCCTAGCGGACGAGGTACCTAGCAGCCAATACTGACTACCCGGCGATCTTCGTGTCGCATTCGTTCGAGTCGTGGATGGTAAATTGGCAGGAGATGAAAGAGACGATTTGGGTCTGACCTGATGCGGTGGATGATGGGTACCGAGAGACCAGGGGTCCCACGGGGACGATTCCATGCCCACACGCAGCCTAGCGTGCTTGCCGCTGAACGAGGTCCCGGCGATAGGAGATGGTGTTGTTTTCATGCACTTCGGCGTCCTGGCGTTCCAAACGGCTGGGAGGCCACCGCTACACCAACATATGTGCTCTCTCGAACGGCCACGCTGTCTCTCGTGGCATCGGTGACTGCCATCTTGTCATTTCGCGGGGTGAGCAGCACGATGATTTGTGAGAGAACCAGATTTGACATGTAAGCCAGAGCAGTATCATGATTTTGCACGGCCTACGCATCATACTAGAACCATGATCCAAGATCTTCTTCCAGTCAATTCTCCACCCTCTGGCATTGACGAAAGTGTTGGATGAGGAGCTTGTCGGCGTGGGACGCTCTCTTGAGAAGCTGCTTCTTGCTCCGCTAACCACTGGGACTTGACTTCGCACACTACAATCCCCGTCAGCACGGGTGCACAGAGGAATTGCCCATGTAGCACTCACGCATTCGCCGTAGCAAGTCCAGAGGAGGGTCAGCTTCGTAAGCAGGACCTTTTCAGATATAGTTGATGTTACGGAAAACCATTCATACTTCACCCAATCTTCGCATTTCTCGAATTTTCGACAAGTTTGACCCTGCTGATTCCATGAGCACGGGACATATTCGTCTTCAAGATCCGTGGATGCGAGAGACTGACGGCTCAACCGACTAGCTCATGGCCACTCGGCCGAAAGCCAGTGGCCAATACCAGGCGGCGATCGAACAGGTCCGGATCAGCGTTATCAGCAGTGCCGTGGACGCACCAACACCTCACATCTGTCCTTCGTCTACCCAAGGAACAGTGAAAAGTGCAATTCGGTCTGGATAGTTTCACATGCCGAAAGTCCAGGCTGCCTCATCTAAAAGCGTGGCAGGTGGTGTTGGTAGGAATCCAGAGGTTTCATGCGACCTGGCAGAAACGCAGGGCCAATTTAGTAGCCTGACTTATGTAACATGGGCGTCGTTAGCATACGCACAAAGCGAAGTACTTTCCTTCCCTCATGCCCGAGTGAGGTTCCTTCCCTCATGCCCGAGTGAGGAGCACATATCAAGTCTATCAGCCTTCTCTAGGAAACGCGCAAAGTGGTACACTTCTTTTCCAGTCACCCATCGGGTCAGCTCAGTGGGCGAGGTTGTCGCATCCATCGAGTTCAAAACGGGGGCTGACCTTGCGGCATCATTGCCTCAAGCCCACAGCATCTGTTCCGTAGTGGAGCTGAGTGTGGTAACTAAGCCGTAGAATTCGATGCAGCCATTGCGGGAGACGTTGCTAAGCGGTCCCAAAGACTAAAAAGCGGCGCAAAGTACCAAATTGATGGCGTGCCTGGGCTTCGACTGGGGTTCTAGCCCCCCTGTACCCCAGCTCCGGCCAGAGCCCGGGCCGCAGGGCGTGCGTGTGCAGGAAGAGGAGAGGATGTGGCTCCCTCGGCGTGGGGACCGCGAAATGGAAGGTTAGAAGCATTCTGGAATGGGTGGGCCGACGAACGAGCGAGCACCAGCGACCTGCTTGGCGGCACCAGTCAGCGGGCAGGGATAGGGAAACCCCGCGACGATCAGGGGAGGATTTTTGGTTGGGATCTCGGGTCATCATCTATGCTCACCTAGGCTCCGTGTTCTTGTCCTGCCTGACAACTGACAGAGTAAAAGGCCCATAGACAGGCCTGGCCACAGGGAGGAAGCCCGGGTAGTTGGGTCCTAACGAGTCAATCGTTCAGCGACCGACGCGCATGCCCTCGATGCTGAAGCCTAGAAGGCGATGAAGCCATCGTGTGTCACTGAGCATTTTCTCCTGCGCAATAGTATCACGGTGGAGCCTGAAAGAGAAAGATCGTGAACAGGGTGTCAGCGACTGGAACAACAAAACAGACAGACGCCCTGGACCCTGACATGTTTGACCGAGCGGACTGAGCCCGCCGTCGCCGGACCCTTCACGGGCTGTCCGGCGCCATCGATCTGTGAGCCTAGCAGCGACCCTAGCAGCGCCCCTCCAGCTGTCGCTCAGCGGATTATTACGCGATGCAAACCAGTCTCCTACGAGCGGCTTTCTCGTTCCATGCTGGCTCGGACACTAGCATGCAGGAATCCAGCCATGATTATTGGCGCCATCTATTGTACCTGTCCGGTATTGAGACGGGTGTTGGGGGGCTGCTGGGATGTTGGGGCTGTTTGGGTGCCTGGGCACGACTCGCAAAGCATGCGTAGGGCGATGTACTGCGTAGGGCGAGGTTTCTGGTGGAGACGGTACAAGGACATCGGAACGCTTGCGAAAGAAGACAGCGCGGCACCGTTGCTAGTTCGAGTCTGGGCAGGGGGGTTCGGGTTGTCGGGCTCGTGGGCTCAATTCAACAGGGTACCGAAGTGCGAAGGCTCCGATGAATCTCAGATGCCTAATAAGCTCATCACAAGCTCATCACTAGGTGTCGTGATTTCCTTGGTTGGGTGTCTGGCTCCGTTCGCGGGCTGTTCTTGCCATCCAATTCCCCCACGGTCTCGTTTTCGTTGCGTCCCTTTCCGGGGGGCAGGAGAGACCCGGGCCCCCTAGTCGCGGAACCAAGTGGAATCGGCCGGGATAGGACCAGGCAGGTACACACTGTATATGTCTTGCCTCACCCTACGGGTACACGTCGCTGTTGGTGTCGCTGTCAGTGTCAGTGTGACTGTTAGTGCCACTGCCGCTGCCGGGCGCCCCCTCCACATCATCATCATCACCTGCTTGTACTGCACCTGCTGCTCCGCATCCGCATCCACATTCGCATCCACAACCACATGTGCCTGAACCTTAGCTTCCCATTCCCTCCTTCCGTTCTTTGCTGCTTACGAGCCGTGACCTGGGATTACTTTCCCTCTATTGCCCGCCCGCGCCTGCTCCCACCAGGAAGGAACAAACAGCACTCGACTTGCCGCAATTGCTCTTGTCCCCTGCCCCTCATTCGACCCTCTCTCCATCCTCTACCTTCGCTTCCCCTCCTCATCTTGTTTCCTTTTTGTCACTCGTCCTTCTCCTCCTCCTTCTCTGGGTAACGACCCTCCGACGATCTGCCTCACATATGCTTGACCCTGGGCCCCCTCGTTGACCGTTGACCGTCGACCGTCGACCGTCGTCCTTCGTCTCACACCCCGCCCTGCCGCACCGCCGCACCGCCGCCTCGGCGAAACACGAGAGAGAGACCAGACCTTCCAAAAACTTACATCCTACACACCCAGCACCCACCCATCCGTCACACAAAACACACAAGCACAGCTCGCAGGACGCGCCGTCTCGCTCACTGGCTGCCCCTCTTCTATATTTGCTTCTTTTTGCGGGCGATCATCAAGCCGCAACGCGCCCACCCCTCCGTCCATTTGATTACTTGATTGCCTCGCCCTGTCCGATTGCCTGCCCGACGCCAGCCAACAACACCCTGGGCCAGTTCTAGATTCCCGATAAGACAGCATTCCCGCGGCTTCCATACGTCATGACATCGATAGTGAGTCCGCGCCCCCTCCATCATGGCCTTGATGGCCCTTTCGTCGTCGGCGTTCCGCATGTGCGTTGTGCGTCTGCTTCTGCACCTACCGTCTCCCTGCCTGCCTGCCTGCCTGCCAACCTCCTGTCGCAATGACAATCTGCGCACCTGTCATTCGCCTCGCTAGAACATCCCGAGTCCCCCGCCAATCTCGAACACGCCCGTCCCTTATTGATTGGGCTTCTCTACACCCCCTCCAATGAGGCGCCGCCTCACCGCCTACACCGCTGTTCCCATGTGGCCATCCCGACCAGTGTCTTGAACGGATGGCCACCCAGGGCCCAGTGAACAGGCAGGCATCCAGCCCAGACAGCCCAAGACAGACGGCCAGCCAGACAGGCCAGCGCCTGACGACATGGCCGCCGACCACGTTATCATTTCCCTCCCTGATGGGCAACCGGTCCACACTCAAACGTCTGGGGTCTGCCCGACTCATCCGCAAGGGAACCTCGTCCGGGGATACCACCGTGTACTGCTGGCAACATGTCACTGCGCCCGTGGTACATGCAACCTCCCGGCCCTCTCCTATCCTCTTCCCTGTCGGAACCCAGCACTGGCACCTCCCTCCCCCTACTCCAAACACCCCCCGTCCCGTCATCCCGTCGGAGCATTAAGAGCAGGAGTGTGCAAAGAAGTCGGGTAGGAGTATCGAGACGAGCGAGGGTCAAAAAAAATCCAGACGTTGTTCCAGATGCCCCTGTCGTCTCTTTGGGGCCCTGTTTGCGGGTATCATCCGTCATGGCTCTCTGAGTCGGCTCTTGCCTCTGCTCCTCTCCATATCTTCCCTGATCTCCCGCGCGCCCTCTCGATGCTCTAGACGCATCATTCTCTTTCGTCATGCGAGTCCCATCCTTCGAACACACCTTGGCTCTGCCAGGTACTTCCGAAGCAGACACTATGCGCCCGCACCACCAACACCCCCAACACCAAACGCAACACCGAGACGAGAGGCAGCCACCCACTACTCCGCCAGTGCTAACTTCTGGCCTCCAGCTATGTCTAGCTCACTATTGCGACCTCCACGGGCCCACCCCGTTGATGGTCACCGAAGGCCTGCCAGCCCCTTGCTCAACATGCTTTGACGAGGCCGAACTCCAAGACCGACCACCCACGAGCGCCCCCACCTCCGTGCCGAGCTCTGTTGGACAAGCCACGGCAGCCATCGCAGATGCGATGCGCAAGATGAACATGCATGGTCACCGGAATTCTTCTCTCTCCATGTCAGAACAAGAAGCCCAAATATCCCGAGCAGCGCTACTACGCAACGCCTCGTCACCTGCCGCCAATACCACCTCTCGCCCGTCCACGTCAGCCATCGAGACCCCGCCTGAAAGCCCGCGAAGAGTGTCCGAGCAGCCGGCACCACGTCGCGAATCGAGCAATTTCCGGAGAACATACGACGATAATGTGACGAAACCCCCTGCTCCCATGCGAGAATTGCGCTATGACGCTGCCTCAGAGGCAAG